GGAATTAGCGGCAGAGATAGAGAAGAAAACGTTGACAGTCCTCCTCCCGAGAGAGGCTGCGTTTCAAGGGACACTCGCCGTGACTTTTCAAGCACTCAGGTGCGCTCACACCAAAACACTGCACTGCTCCACCAGCATTGCCAAAACCTTTCATTCCTCACTCCTGCTTCCCCAGCATCTGGACCTACGAACACCTGAATACACAAATGACAGCAGACTGGTCACAGTAGAACACATCCCAAGGATTCCCCCCTCCCCCATTTTTAAGTAAAATACAACAGGAAGAGGGAAATGATGACTACCACAAAAGGGAACTGTATTTTTATTTCCACATTTAAGCACTTGAAAGCTGCTGCTTTTCCCTTCGCACATCTAAACAGTCCTGGAGAAACTCCACAGCATTGGGGAACCCTTTTGGGAGTCTTACTGATGAGAGATGTTCCTCACTCATAGACCAGCACTGCGAGTGGTGAAGGACTGCAAAGAAGTGGGGTTGTGGTATGGAACCAGCTTGGGGGGGGGCAGTCCCCCAGATTTTATCTTTCTTTTTAGTGCACTGTCACAGGTGCTCCTGGAGACCTGGCTACTGTCCCTTGCCTGCTGACAGTCAGATGGCCTCCTCTTTCTTTTAATCCGTTTTCAGCTTTAAGTCCATACTCAGAAAACACCAAACAGGTGTTATCTTTTTAAAAATCCATTTATTTCCTCTCTGCTGCAAAAATATGAACCACAGTGTATGAAAAAATATGAACCACAATATATTGATATAAGGAGGATATCAACCTGTTGGAACGAGTCCAGAGGAGGCCATGAAGATGCTCCGAGGGCTGGAGCACCTCTGCTATGGGGACAGGCTGAGAGAGTTGGGCTTGTTCAGCCGGGAGAAGAGAAGGCTCCGGGGAGACCTTACAGCCCCTTCCAGTACCTGAAGGGGCTACAAGGAAGCTGGGGGGGGCTTTTTACAAGAGCCTGTAGTGACAGGACAAGGGGTAATGGGTTTAAATTGAAAGTGGGGAGGTTTAGATTGGATATCAGGAAAAAGTTCTTCCCGGAGAGGGTGGTGAGGCACTGGCACAGGTTGCCCAGAGAAGCTGTGGATGCCCCATCCCTGGAAGTGTTCAAGGCCAGGCTGGATGAGGCTTTGAGCAACCTGGTCTAGTGGGGGGTGTCCCTGCCCATGGGGCCATTCTATGATTCCATGTTCCCACCTCAAAGTCACAGATGCTCTTCATCCTCCCACTCCAAAGCTCTTGGCTAAGATCTATTTTTTCCAAGGACTGGCACAAAGAACTGCTGAAAAAACTTGAACTGAGCTTGAGCTAAAAAATTGTTAAAACCTGGAAAAGGGGGGAATGTAGTGAGGGCAAGAGTTTAAAAATGAGTTCAGCTGCCTACTGCCATGCACATCACACAACTGGTGCCTTCACTTGGGCTCACATAAACGCCAATCTCCTTGTGTAATCCAGCCAATGTGTTTTCAAGCTGGGAGTTAACAGTGTCGGCCATTTTGGTTCTTGGGAACTTACGATCCCTGCAAACAGCCTCTTTCTACGAGAACACTGTAACCCTGCTGCCAGCGGTCTAATTGAAAGGCACGGGCTTCAGCACTTAGTAGGAACATGTGCTTAGGGGGGATCAATCTATATACGTGTTCATGTGTGTGCAGGACGGTGCGTGATACTGGGGTAGCCAACGCCTCGCCAACCACTCCGTTGAGTGCAGAGTACCTTGCCTGATGCTACTGCTCCCCAACCACTACAAATGAAGCCTGTTCCAAACCACGGCAAGTACAGTACGTTGCAAAGGGTCAGTGAAATGCCACTTACTGCTCCAAAGCGAGCATATTCACCGTTATGAGCCCAGCACCAATTCACTCCTCCTAAGAACAAGGTTTTCTTTCCTGAGTCACATGCCCACAGTCACTGACAGGACCATGGGTTACATCCTGGTAGAAAATATTTTATAGTGCTGAAGTGTGCCCCACCTCTCAAATGGAGTGTATGAAAAATAACTGTAAAAATTCACTTAGCTCCAAAAGAATCAAGAAGGTGGCTAGAGGTCAACACTTTGGCCATGGAAAGGAAAAGCAAACCAACCACGCTCAATTTCGTAGCTCTCATCTTGCCAAGTTTCTCTATTGCCAAACTAAACGCAGACTAAACACAAATGTCAAGGAAAATTGTGAAGAAAGAGAAGAGCCTCAGGATTCCGTGAACCAGATGGCTTAGTTGTGAAATGGATGTAACTGTTGCTAACAGCTTTCTGTGTCTGTACCAACTTCTCATCTGAGCAGTGTTTTCAGAAACTGGTAGATTCATTAACAGATACTTAAATTAAGGATACTTTAAGTTTCAGAAAAAAGGTTTGGCTGTTTTTTTCCCCTCTTTTAATAAGGCAATAAAAAAAATTGGCAAAAGAGCTCAAGCACATAGGGATGCAGAAGCTTACAATTTCTCCCTGAATTCCCAAGTGGGAATGCGTATTTTGGCACATGCATTCCCCAGCGTCCTTTGGTAGCATATGAAAAACGCAGCTTTTCCTCTAGCAGCAGAAAGCGTGGGTCTCCCTTGCTAAGGCCATGCTTGGAACTGGTGCCTTACGCGTTACTTTCCTTACTATATAAAGATACAGATTATGCCACACCATTTTTTGTGAAGAGTGGAGCAGGTCTCCACCCAGTTTGAGAACACAATTTCCAAACACAGCTTTCCAGCTTCTTAGATTTTACTTTCCTGCCCCATGAACTTCTAAGGTTTTAAAGAGGGATTATAGCACCAGAAACCCTCTTTTATTTACCAGTGCATATTTGTCCTGTACGTGTTCTTCATAAGATCTGTGACTGAAAAGAACAAGGACATTGTTCCAAACATATAAAGATGGAATATCATAACAGCATCCCCATCACTTGCAAAAATGAATGAGATATGACGTAAGTACCTCTAACTTTCAAAGCTATTTCCTATTCCTTCTTAAATAGCTGGAACCAGCAGTCAGACAATGAACTTGCTTTCTAAAAGCCCACATTTTCTGGAAATGAAGTCACATTATAAGCACTGGCCCTCTAACCTCAGTGCAGAATTAAGCTGGAGAAGGATTTGGGCTATGAAAGAGATGGTTTTAATGGGAACACTGGGGAACAATCAGTCTTCAGCATTGTCAGAAAGTCATTTTGCAGAAATATTGGCAACATTCATGTTTACAAGCTTGGCAGAAAATAAGTGTTTCTTTATTTTTATCCTAGAAGAGATTATCACACAAAAACCTTAAAGAATTCCAAACATCACAACCTGTTGGTACTGCTGTCCACAACCACGCTGGTGTCTGACTCCATTCAAAACTCAACCAGTGCTCATGAGGGCACTTTAAACATTGCCCAGGGAACTGGAAATTTATTTATACTGTTCACCTCAGTACGTCCCTCAACGCAATTTCATACAGCCTTTTGATGACCATGGGTAAGCAGAAAAATAACTGAGCTTCCTAATGAAGAGGGGGAACATACCACACCCTTTTTTTTTTCCCCCCACATCAGTGAGCAGCTGGCTGCTTCCTAGTTTTGGCTTTGGCAATGAGTATTATGTACGTACTCCACGAACAAGGTACGTAGGGTTCTTCCATGGTGTCCTCCTACCTGTTTTCATTCCAGTCTGAGTTAGTCCTGTCACAGTTACTGAACCGCGCACTGGAACCAGGAACAGATTTGGTAGCCAAAACCCACTGTTCCATACCAGCCTTGTATACTTGTATTTTACCAATGCCACGTCTTCCCCGGTAGGTGAGGCAAACGCAGCCCTGCCCAACGATCTCTTCGGCAGACTACCGTTCCTTAGGCCTCTCACGACTACCATCTGCTACTGTGTGAAACACTCACACCGTAGCACCAAGTAGTTTTGCTTTGCGCTGCTCCCAAGCCTCCTCACGTACACTGAGCTTACCCTCTATCTCTGTGCCAGTTCGTTTGCTTTAGCTCAGCCTGATCTGAAAATAAAAACACTCCAACAAATAATGACTTAAGTAAAATTTCCGCATGTATTATGTCAGTTACAGTTATGCAATGGCCAAATATTAGTAAATTCGTAGCTAATATTAAATTAAAACTCTGGAAAAACAGCGACAAACAGTTCCATGGCACGTACCATTCTTACCATGGGGATAATGCTTACCCTATGTCCAAAGGGACAGTGGAAACAAGTATAAATATAGAAACTGTCTCAAAACTGCAAATCTAAGCCTATGTTAATGCTCTAAACTGTCACTGACTTTCACTAAAATTATTCAGATCCAAACATAAGCAATGATTTAGGACATCAATTTATAACATAATGCTGGTGACCCTGTACCAGTCAGGCTGGATTGGTTTCTGTCCACAAAGCAAACTACAGAGTGGCAAAGTTTTACCGCTGGTCTTGCACAAGCATACAGCATGTAAATGTATTGTTTAAAGATTCACATACATGTTTCCCCAAATTCAACTGTGGTCGAGTATACCTCTCCCAGTTTTCAATAATTTTAAAACAAATAAATAGCAAGCCCTTTCTGTTTGGACGCTTTGCTTTGTTTTTCCAGCCTGAATGAGTCTACAGATATTTTCTTAGTTATACAAGGCCAATGTTTCACTTCGCAAACATTGAAGATGAAGGAACACTTGAAGCTTCAGCACCAGAAGGAAAACAAGGAAGAGTGCAGAGGGTAGCTCCATTCGGGAGCACAGAGCTATAACAATTATTGTTCCAGTTTGTTGCGAGTAGCACAAAGACTTTAATTCTAAGCAGTCCCATTGCTCCTGACAACCAGTGATTCTTGTGTGGGTTCACACCCTCAACACCCTTGAGCTGATACAGTTTGTAACCTTGCAGAACAGCAACACAAACCAGTTCCCCATAAGCTCTGGACAGATTAGAATACTCATCGTGTCTTGCAAAAATCTCATCTCGGTTTCTTCAGACCTTCACCCTCTTCCTTAGAACAAGGAGTCTATCTTACTCGGAGTTTGTTCCTGTGAGTTATTCGTTGCTGGACTGTTGAGTTCTTGACCTAAAGTTTTATTTCTGTGTTAGGTTGAATGACGGTAGGGAGAGAAGAGGAGCACCGTAATATTAGCAGATTAATTAATATTACTTGTGATGACACTGATTATTTTCCTTGGTTGTCCCCCACCTCTCCTTACTATCCTCATTTTGCTGCCTTCTTCATTTTTCCCAGAGTGATGTCAACAGCGCTGTGAAAGTTCATTCTTTTGAGAGAACAACATTGCTGATTTCCTCTAAGTCTTTGCTTCCATAGGAAGCAGATACCTGGCAGATTTGCAAGGGAATGCTAAATCAACTGTGGAAGTTCTGCACCGCTGTCTGTTTCTGAGAAAGTCGTAGGAGTTCTTCTCTAATTGCTTTGATAAGAGAGGCTGAAGAGTGACCTGGCTGGAGGTCCTCAGTGGAACTGGTGGTGTAGCAAAGGCCCTGGCCCTGAAGGCTGTTGTGTGGCAGCTGAGCAGGGGGGACCGAAGGCTGCCGGGCCGAAGTCCTCGGCATCTGGAATACTGGTGAGGAGGAATATTCTTGGGGTCCATGCATATGCGTCTGGAAAAAGGTAGAAAGCATTATTGTACTTTCCGAACAAGCATGACAATCCCAGAAAAGACAAGAAAGCAAAAAGGCAAAGAACAGAGGGAAAGCAGCATGGAGATGCATCTATCTGCTGCCACTGTTCGTCTCTGGTATGAATGAGTGATTCCTCTTACGGAGCACAAAACAAGTGTACACAAAATTGCTGGACTGCCTCAAGTTCAGGGATTCTCAAAATCTCTTTGAGCAGCTTTTAAAAAGCCTGATCCCCTTTCTAATCCATGGTGCGTTTAGAAACTGAAGTGGAAGGAGGTGGGGAGAAAAACCACAGAACTGCAAGTCAACAGAAGTGGCTTCTCTCTTCCCAGCTGACACTTCTCCCCGCTGTCTGTAGATGGAGATACTACTGCTTTACCCCTCCCCTCCTCCGCCTGGCTTGCCTGTTCAGACTGCACCCTTGTGAGGACCCTGTGACTGACCAGTGCCCAGGAAAACACAGTCAACAGAAGAAGCAGTAGGAAAACATCATTCTAATTGGAAAAGTCAGTTTTTTTCTATACTCAACAGCTGGTTTATGTATCTGAGAAACACGACCCCAGTTTAGGGACACTCGTTTCAGGGTAGAAAGGCGTTAATTCTGCATTTGCTCAGGAACATATATTTTCTAACAAAACAAGAGACAAACAAAACAGAAGCCCGCATTTATGGGCTTTATCAGGTAAAAAATCTGCTTACACTAAAACAAAGCACGAATTTACAGTACAGTAGGTGATTGCACTGACTCCCAGTACGGAGACAAATGAGGTACATTTCGGAAACCTGAACTCCCGCTGACATCCCTCGAGCAAAGCGTCTCCTCCCGCCCTGTACTGCAGAAGGCTGAGATGGCCAGAAGCAAACACCGGGCACAAAGGACTTGAACACAGGCTGCTGAAACCACAACCGGGAGCAAAGCAGGCAATCCCCTTCCAAAGGGTCTGCGCTGGGAATGGGGAGCAGCTAGCTGAAGGGAGTTCACATCACCACTAGCACCAGAGCGCTATCTTCCGCTGTGGATTTATATATTTAAGCACTAGAGAGCAATCTGATGAGGGACGAAAGGACAGCAAGGCCAGCTAGAAGAGGATTTGGGGGCGAGGAGGAGGGGAAGAAAGGGATTACAAAGCAGAGCCTGGGAAGGATATGGGCAACCTAGAGAGACTGGCAGCAGTGCGCTTGGAACACACAAATGCATGAGAGTATGTGCCTTAACGTGTTTCATCATATAAATGAATAAAATCTAAGCCATTTTGTATAAAGTAGAACTAATAATAGATTCTGACTCTCCTGCACAGCTTACGTACAGCACTGATCACTTACACAGTTAATCTGGGAGAGAGATCAAGAGGAAAAGAGTCTTTAAGAGAAGAATGATAGGTAAAGAAGGTTTTCCAAGTAACATCCTGCCTTACTTCTTACAAAGGGGAGGTGATTTTAGTATCAGAAAGGAATGAATGGGTCTCTTGACTGTTCAGAATTATTCTTTGGCAGTGAAACCTGAAACTAATTCATATGTGCAGTCTAGAGTTAGCAAACCTGACAAGTACTCTGTGGGTTTATAGAAAAGAGATGACAGAAAAAATATTAAAAGCAAACATGCCCTGTCATGAGTCTTAACAACACCCTAAATTATGCTCAGGTTACTTTCACATTAAAATGCATTACGTGATTCAGCTCCTACCTCATACTGCGCTAAGTTAGCGCCGTAAGGATGGTTTCTTAAGGGAAGTTAGGAAGAACATTTGATGACTGTATTGGCTGGTTTTTAACATGAAGGCTACCAAAATTTTCTTAAATATCTCAGAAAAACAAAAGTGTGTATTTCTATGATCTCATATATAACATCAGAATTAAAAAGGTCTGAGAAATTTTAAAGTGAGACTGGTTTAGAAACCTAACCTACACTAAACTACAACAGTAAAATACGGGGAGAAAAAAGGTTGGAATAATTTTGGCTTGAGGTTTGGGTTTGGGTTTTTTTTTTTACTTTAAAATGTCTTTACTAACAGAAATACACATTGATATATAATATCATACATGTAACAATATATAGCTTTATATAGTATCTATAAATTATATATATTTCTTATAGATACGTCTGTATAAATGACAGGAGTACAAAATAATAAAAAAGGTGGACCTTTTTACAAGGGCCTGTAGTGACAAGGCAAGGGGTAACAGGTTTAAATTGAAAGTGAGGAAGTTGAGATTAGTTATCAGGAAGAAGTTCTTCCCAAACTTCTGGTGGTGAGGCACTGGAATAGGTTGCCCAGAGAAGCTGTGGATGCCC